ACCTCCCCCTTTTTCCAAGACCACGCGCTTATATTTTTACATGCCTTACAGTCTACTATCTGAGAGCCTGGAACAGGCTAAGATTTAATTGACGACTACATTACCATGACGGCAAAGAAACCTGCTAAAAAGTGTGCTGCACGTTAAGAGTCTTTTTTTCGTTTATTTTCTCGTTTCTGTCGTTGCTATAGTTGCACTGAGCTCACTGGTGGCGTTAACGTGCCAAACAATTCCTGATATGCGACGATTTCGCCGGCAAAACCGACGAATCGATGGAAGCGCGACGAAATCAGAGGCTCAAACAGTACTCTCTGTATATAATAATTTAAAATAATTCGTTCGCTTAATTTGTAGCTTTCAAGGACTTAATTATACAGCAGTTTTCTAGTCTTCGTAGATTTTCTTGTAAGGTTTTATCTTTCTTGCGTCCGAGACGATAGGCAAATTTAAGATGGTGGACCGCCCTTGAAATACACCTACAGAAACCAAACGTTATCAGTAACTAGAAGAAACTTACCTGAAACCGAAAAGACGTGAAATTCGAAGAAACAGAACTAAGGGTTCTTTTGTACTGTTTAAGACCACTTCGCGGATCACAACTGCCTATTTGTACAATGTCACCTTGTAGCTACAAAGCTCGACAGTTCAGAGCTGGGCGGTAGTCCAGGAAGGTACTTCATGTATGGGGGGTATGGGGAGTGGGGAGGTAGGTACTTCATGTATGGGGACATATATTGTACATAAGACCGCTGACAGACCTACCGCAGTCGTTCAAGTCTTGGAAGGTTTGGTGAAAAGTATAAACGTCTATATAACGAAGAACGAGCACGTTTTTCAACGCCTAAAGTCTTCTGCTCACCAAAAAAAGAAGACTCAAGTCTTAAATGTGGATCTTGGAGGACCAACGGAATGGTAAGTTTTAAGAATTGAGTATTTCTTTAGGGGTACAGAGTAAAAAGAAAATACTTAAGTACATTGTATGGAATTCTTTTGGGGTGAAGCCTTAATTTTCACGAAATAGACCACAGGCCACCCAAACTCACGTTACGAGGGAAGGGTGTAAAGTAATTTACATACCATAGATAACGTGCCGGTGTCACGTTTTACAGGCGACCGTTGAAAATAGTACAGACTTTGTATGAGAAATATATTACTGAGATTTGCGAACACTAAATAACGCTAAACCTTACTAAACCTTACCTTGTTAAATGAAATGAATAAAAAAGCCTTACCTGCAATGTATTCCACTGTGTTTTGATTATGCAATAAAGCCAAAAAAGCCAGTAATATGACAAACAGACATCAAAACACAGTGGAGTGCATTGCAGGTAAGTCTTTTTTATTCATTTCATTTAACAAAAAGTAAGGTTTAACGTTATTTAGCGTTCGCAAATCTCAGTAATATATTTCTTATACAAAGTCTCTTATGTTTTCAACGGTTGCCTGTAATGTGACACCGGCACATCATCTATGGTATGTAAATTACTTTACACCCTTCCCTCATAACGGGAGTTTGGACCGCCTGTGGGTAGACCAATATTCTTCAGTGAAGACAAAAAAAACAAATCTTGTTGTGGTGGTGCATTTTGATGAAAGAAACATTTTACACGGCAGGTCTGAAATACAGGTCACATTTCCACAGGTCAGGGTACAGGTCACCACGATTGAGATAAATGAACAGCATTAAAACTGTCTCCTAGCCCTAATCTCTTAACAAAATGCTCTATTAGATCGAGGGGAATCTGTGTGGTTTGGTAATTTATCGATGGAGAAGTGACCTACACTCTTGACCTGTGGAATGTGATCTGTACTTTAGACCTGGCAATTGCGTTCCATTCAAACATGAGGTTTGTAACCTTTTAGCTGGCCCAGGGGCAAGGGGATGGTCACTGGCTGAGGATTGACTGAGAAATAGAGCTGCGTGCAATAAAAAATCCAATGAAATTAGAGGTTCTAGAGAGCTCCGTACTATCCAGTGGTATTTAAGCCAAGTATTGTAACACCGCAGATTAGCAGTATCCACATGGCTCTTATTCGAACTAGCTGTCATTTAATTTTTGGCTCAATGTGTTTTCATTACCAAAGAAAAAGGTCAGTGAAAAGGCTACACCGCCTTGTAAAAAAAAAAAAAAAAAAAACAGTAGTTTCTCTAGCAACCTTTGTGGCTTGCCAGGTGTTAGGAAAGGCTGGTCAACTGTTTATTTTCAAAGTAGGATGGCTCACCCCATGGGTAGCTGAAAATTAAACAATCACCACTCGTGGACTTTGTTTATTTGCAAATTTTTTACATTGTTACTTTGAAAGGTGTCTCTTATGGGCCACAGAAATGACACTGATAAAGAAATTTTCTAACCGGCTAAAAGACTTTAGGCATTGATAGCAATATTAATAATAATTATTATTATTGTAAGTAAACAGCAGTATGCATGTTGTTCAATTTCAACAGTCATTTATTAATATTATTTAACTTCTGTATAATAACAACTGGACAGCTGGCAGCTGGTAGCCTGCAGACACAGACATATTTCTGGTCGTCGCTTTTCTGTGGAGAGTGGTGTACAGATTCCCAAGACCGGAAATTCGTCCTCAGGTCCTCAGGCTAGTAGCTGGTAGCTGGAGGGGCTCCCATACAAGATGACAGGGTTGACCTTTATTTTGGTACATTTCAAGGTGTATGTATTAACCAGGAAATAATGAGAACAACAACTTCCCTGATTTTTCTCCGGTCACTCTTATATGGGTATTCCCCCTACAATGCTGAAACAAGTAATGAATTTAAGTTTAACCAAAGGGAGTGTGAATTATTCATGTGAGCTGAAGTGGGCTTTCAACATGATGCAGGTCAGAAATATTTAATTGTGGAAAATAGGGGGGTGAGCATAGCTAATAATCAACACTCTCTTGGCTAAATATAAGCAGCCAGCTCAGTAGAACCAGAAACTATATGCTTAAATGTTAAAATCTGCCGTCAAATATTGAAATTCTTCACTTTATTAAACGGTCAGAAAAAGTACAGTAAAAACCAGTGTCTAAGAACCTGCCTTTTCGAACATTACCCTGGACAGGTTCTTTTATAAATGTCAATCAGCAATAATTTAGGCTATTTAGGTTCTTAAATAAAATCATATTTTCTGACGAAAAAACTGCATTTGAGCTATAAGGGCTTTTAGTGGTATTTATCTTATAATATTCCTAGACATAAAATCTGCACCAATACATTGCAGTTGGAGTGATTATAAAGGCACCTTTGTCTTCGATTCAAAGAGGATCCTGAATGTTAAGTTATCTTATTTGCCCAATTTTACAGTATTTTTTTTATAGATCATTAGAAAACAAGAACGTGTTTCAAATTTTAGGCTATAAAGGTTGTTGTATAGAGGTCTGTTGCCTAACTTGCAATTTTAGCCCAACAAGTTCTTAAAAACCAGGTTCTTAGTCACAGGTTGTTCCTGTAATAATATTTTTGATCAGAAACAACAATGTTAGAATACTGATTGGTGTGTGAGTCAACAAGAAATAACATCCAATAAAATTAAAATGTGTTAATATCAATTTCTCACTGCAATAGAACCCTCAGTCTCAAGGAAAAGCTAATAAATTAGTATATACTGTGTCAATGCATTATTAAGAGACTTGTGTTGTATAATAGCAATACAAAATAAAATCAAATGTGAAGTATTTGAAAAAGAGAGTCTGGGAACAATGGTACAGACTGCAGCTATTGTTTCTCTAACTTAATTTCTGCATGCATAATGTCTGCGTGTAATTCCTAAAAAAGCTCACCTATACATGCACACCTCAACAACAAAACAAACATTACCTTTAAGAGAGAAACAAACAACAGAAATATTTCATCAAAAATCAAATTAATCATTAACATATTGCTAAAGAAAGGATTAATATTATGATAAAACTTAGCAAGACAATCTTAAGCTTTACATTAACTACCCTGATCCATGGAGAAACTCCACATCAATAATTCAACATTAATAATGCAAGCCATCTAACGAATTAGTAACACTTGTAAAAAATATGAACATTTAAAAAAATATCCTGGTTGTTCAACAGTCCAAAGTAGTTATAAATACAAATTTAGAAAAAAAAACTTTAGCTTGTCTCATTGGTGTCTGAATCAACTTGTCATCCTGACTAACCAACTTAAAGGGGGTGAATAGTGGAGTGAAATATGAGACAGTAAGTCCTTGCCTCTATTAGTAAATAATAACAATATGTATATGTTTAAGGCCAAACTTATATTCAGGTTCTTGATACGCCACATTAAATAGAAACAGTAAAATGTTTTCTAAAATATACAGATGACTGTCATTCTGACTATATAACTTTTTTAACTAATCCAATCGTTAAACTAATCTAACATGAAAAATTGACTCTCAAAATGCAGTGGTTGCTGTTGATACAAATACTGCTATTGACTATTTTGAAAGACTATCGTTAGGTTTTTTATTAAGAAAGTGTACAAAATTTGATTCTTAAAACTGATATTAAACAATACAATTAATGCTGTAATTTTCTTGTATTAGTTTGTTTCTATGGAACTATTTTAGAGTTTTTAGTCAGTATCTCAATCATAAGCCTTTTCACAGGTGTATATAACCACATGAAAAGTTTTTACTTCTCAGCTTGAAAGTGACGTTCGAACGGTCAAAACGTAGTTGTTCTTTTTTAACGTTAATTTTTGTAGAGAAATCCATTTCAACAAATGTGTAATGTTACAAATTACAGAAACATAAAAATAGAAACAGGATGCAATGTTCGGGTTTAGTATAGTGTTAATCTATAATTGTTCTCCTTTCTCTAATTAATGTATAGTTAGTGCACCTAGAAAAAGATCTGTTTTGTTGGTCATGAACTTCCCTCTAAATTTGCTCATTCTTGCCACCCGGAACGTCAATGTCATTTAGAGATTTCCCAATGGCTTGATTGATGTTTTCCTCATCCATTAGTGCCAATTTAAGCCCAGTACATTGTTTTCTCAGGCAGTCCACTAGTGCAATTATTTTGCTGACTTTAGCTAGCTCCAGGGTTGACTCGTGGAGTCTATGATATTCCCTGTGTACTCTGATATCATGTCCCATGTGTCTTGCCAGCCAATCTAACTCTTTTTCTTGGAGGTCTAACACTTGGGAAACCGTTGCAACATACTTTCTAAGGTGGGTACTTGTTATCAAATCAGGTTCTTTTAATTTAAGCGCAGTACATTGTTTTCTCAGGCAGTCCCAGTGGCGAATGTGATTCAATGAGTCTTCAGACGGGCGGGCAAAGAAAAACTTGTTGTTTGTATTGATGTTGGCCTCTTGTCTTTTCTTGACTAAGATGTCCATTGCTCCTTTAATATCAGGCGTTAACAGCACTGAGACCTTATGTCCCCTTTTGCTTTCTATGTCAACCATGTCCAGCACACATATATAGCATATTACATAATTGCACAATTTTAATAATGTCTCTCTTTAAAAAAGTAGCAAACGTGAAGGTGGCCTTTTGTTTTGAAGTATTTAGTTAATATACAGGCCATGCTTAACAAAAGTAACTTAAATGGTTGTATGTGGCCCTGACTGAGTTGAGAGCAGTGCATATTCAAACTAACAAGGCAGGTGATCTAATTTAATTTTGAAATTCACAGCTACCCTTGATGCCTGCAACTATTTGTGAGGGTGGTCTTTACGTTATGCCAAAAAAATGTTTTGCTCAAGGAAAAAGTCTTACTATAACAGCAAACTTAAACAAATGATATATGCAAACTGGAGAAAACTTTTAGTCAGTGTGATAATTTTCCCTTAGCAAAATCAGTTTTAAATCAAAAAAAGCTAAGGTTTCTTATAGTAGTTCAAGGGTGAAAATAGTTGTTTTGTACTGGTACTTAAAGTGCTGTTCTTTTGTTATGTTTCTGGCCTAGCGTCTGGTGATAGATTTGGAAGTGTATCTTATATCACAGTGCATGTATTCCAAGATGTCTGCAATTTTTTTTTGTGTGTATTGATAGTGAAATTACTGAATGTGTTATTACTTGTACTTTATACCTCTTACACAGTTCCTTCTCAATTGGCTCTAGACAATCTTCAATTCCTTTTGTTGCTGTTTTCTTCCAGTCTGGCCTTTCTACAAATGAACTCAACAGCATCTTTGAAACTTCACCGCCTCGTCGTTTATTGAATGTTATCACCCGACAAATGGTTGTTTCAGCTAACTCACTCCAATTCTGTATTGTTGGTGCAGCTTTTAAGGTCTCTGTACAAGTGACAATCTTTTGAAGGAGATGCTTTCTCAACACCTCCAAGTCTTCTGTAACTGGAAGCAGATCTGGCTTGTTAAATATCTTCTTGTAGAGTGTTCCTAGTGAGTGATATGAAATGGTATCACTCCATTCAGATCCCATAAGCTTTTCGAGATTGTCCATGTCTTGTAGCAGCACCTGGTCTTTTTCTCTCAAAGCCTTACCTCTTTGGATAGTGATGCACTTATTTATGGCATGGCCTAACTTCAGTGCAAGGGATGGTATTCCGACTGACTTTGCTGATGATTCCTCAAAGTTGCAAAGCGTCTTAACTGAAGCCACAATGTGGTCAAAATACTCTGGCTTTAGAAAGTCTTTGAGGTGAATCCCCATGGAGTTGTTGGTTCTGAGCTGTATCAGCAGCCTTGAAAGGTGCCGAATCCCTTGTGACACCAGGTGAAGGTTGTCTTGCCCATGTCTCTCTGCAATGATGCTACCATACTTACAGATGAGATCATCATTTCTTGCAGCAATAATTGTCACCTCATCTGATTTCATTTTTGCTAGGGCAACTTTTAGGCATTGACTTTGTGCTTGATGTCCTATCTTAGGATACAGCTTGGGACAGTTAAAACAGGAATCCTTTTTGTCATAAACCCAGTTTTTGTGGTTGTTTTTCCCCTTATATGTGTAGTATTGTTTTCTAATAATAATATTAATGCTTTCTGTTCGCCGAATGGCTTTCGAGAAATAACTTGTAATGTTAACCTCTTTTGCCAGGCATATTTTCTAGTTTTTGTAGTTGTTTTTCCCCTTATATGTGTAGTATTGTTTTCTAATAATTGATGCTTTCTGTTCGCCTAATGGCTTGCGAGAAATAACTTGTGATGTTAAGCTCTTTTGCTAGGCATATTTTCTACTTGTTGTTTGATCACTGTTTGCCTTGGGGATCGTAGGTTTAACATTGTAGAGTTAACCTCCTATGCCAGGCATAATAATGAATGTAGTGTAGTTGAAAAGTGACATGGATTTGTTTGTTGTAAGCTGCCAAATCCCTTAAGACCATTAAGGCGGAGGTTTTTGTTTACATTTTTTGTGGTATAATAAGTGCAGGCATCAATGTTAGCCCTGAATTCAGCATCTATTTGGGAGGGTTGTCTTTAAGTTGTGCAAAAAAAAAATGTTTTGCTGAAGGAAAAAGTCTTACTAAAACAGAACACTGAAACAAATAATATATCCAAACTGGAGAAAACGTTTAGTCGGTGTCATAATTTTTCCTCAGCAAAATTAGTTTTTACATCAGAAAAAAGGTTACTTATATAATTACTTATATAAGTAGTTTAATGGTGAAAATAGTTGTTTTTGACTGGTACATAAAGTGCTGTTCTTTTGTTATGTTTCTGTATAGTTAGTGCACCTGGAAAAAGATCTGTTTTGTTGGTCATGAACTTCCCTCTAAATTTGCTCTTTCTTGCCACCCAGAATGTCAATGTCATTTAGAGATTTCCCAATGGCTTGACTGATGTTTTCCTCATCCATTAGTGCCAATTTAAGCCCAGTACATTGTTTTCTCAGGCAGTCCACTAGTGCCAATATTTTGCTGACTTTAGCTAGCTCCAGGGTTGACTCGTGGAGTCCATAATATTCCCTGTGTACTCTGACATCATGTCCCATGTGTCTTGCCAGCCAATCTAACTCTTTTTCTTGGAGGTCTAACACTTGGGAAACCGTCGCAACATACTTTCTAAGGTGGGTACTTGTTATCAAATCAGGTTCTTTTAATTTAAGCCCAGTACATTGTTTTCTCAGGCAGTCCCAGTGGCGAATGTGATTCAATGAGTCTTCAGACGGGCGGGCAAAGAAAAACTTGTTGTTTGTATTGATGTTGGCCTCTTGTCTTTTCTTGACTAAGATGTCCATTGCTCCTTTAATATCAGGCGTTAACAGCACTGAGACCTTATGTCCCCTTTTGCTTTCTATGTCAACCATGTCCAGCACACATATATAGCATATTACATAATTGCACAATTTTAATAATGTCTCTCTTAAAAAAAGTAGCAAACATGAAGGTGGCCTTTTGTTTTGAAGTATTTAGTTAATATACAGGCCATGCTTAACAAAAGTAACTTAAATGGTTGTATGTGGCCCTGACTGAGTTGAGAGCAGTGCATATTCAAACTAACAAGGCAGGTGATCTGTTTAATAATGAGAATATTTTCAAGGCTAATTTAATTTTGAACAGCTACCCTTGATGCCTGCAACTATTTGTGAGGGTGGTCTTTAAGTTATGCAAAACAAAATGTTTTGCTCAAGGAAAAAGTCTTACTATAACAGCAAACTTAAACAAATGATATATGCAGACTGGAGAAAACTTTTAGTCAGTGTGATAATTTTCCCTTAGCAAAATTAGTTTTAAATAAAAAAAGCTAAGGTTACTTATAGTAATTCAAGGGGGAAAATAGTTGTTTTGTACTGGTACATTAAGTGCTGTTCTTTTGTTATGTTTCTGGTCTAGCGTCTGGTGATAGATTTGGAAGTGTATCTTATATCACGGTGCATGTATTCCAAGATGTCTGCAATTTTTTGTGTGTGTATTGATAGTGAAATGACGGAGTGTGTTATTACATGTACTTTATACCTCTTATACAGTTCGTTCTCAATTGGCTCTAGAGAATCTTCAATTCCCAGTCCTTTTGCTGCTGTTTTCTTCCAGTCTGGCCTTTCTACAAATGAACTCAACAGCATCTTTGAAACTTCACCGCCTCGTCGTTTATTGAATGTTATCACCCGACAAAGGGTTGTTTCAGCTAACTCAGCTTTTAAGGTCTCTGTACAAGTGGTATCATTCCAAATGCTATCATTCCATTAAGATCCCTAAGCTTTTCGAGATTGTCCATGTCTGGTAGCAGCACCTGGTCTTTTTCTCTCAAAGCCTTACCTCTTTGGATGGTGATGCACTTATTTATGGCATGGCCTAACTTCAGTGCAAGGGATGGTATTCCGACTGACTTTGCTGATGATTCCTCAAAGTTGCAAAGAGTCTTAACTGAAGCCACAATGTGGTCAAAATACTCTGGCTTTAGAAAGTCTTTGAGGTGAATCCCCATGGAGTTGTTGGTTCTGAGCTGTATCAGCAGCCTTGAAAGCTGTCGAATCCCTTGTGACACCAGTTGAAGGTTGTCTTGCCCATGTCTCTCTGCAATGATGCTACCATACTTGCAGATGAGATCATCATTTCTTGCAGCAATAATTGTCACCTCATCGGATTTCATTTTTGCTAGGGCCACTTTTAGGCACTGACTTTGTGCTTGATGTCCTATCTTAGGATACAGCTTGGGACAGTTAAAACAGGAATCTTTTTTGTCATAAACCCAGTTTTTGTAGTTTTCTTTCCCTGTTATGTGTAGTATTGTTTTCTAATAATTAATGCTTTCTGTTCACCGAATGGCTTTCGAGAAATAACTTGTAATGTTAACCTCTTTTGCCAGGCATATTTTCTACTTGTTGTTTGATCAATGTTTGCCTTGGCGATTGTAGGTTTAACATTGTAGAGTTAACCTCCTATGCCAGGCATAATAATGAATGTAGTGTAGTTGAAAAGTGACATGGATTTGTTTGTTGTAAGCTGCCAAATCCCTTGGGACTATTAAGGTGGAGGTTTATTTTTACATTTTTTGTGGTATTAAATAAGTGCAGGCATCAATGCTAGCTGTGAATTCAGCATGTATTTGTGAGGGTTGTCTTTAAGTTGTGCAAAAAAAAAATGTTTTGCTCAAGGAAAAAGTCTTACTATAACAGAACACTTAAACAAATAATATATGCAAACTGGAGAAAACGTTTAGTCGGTGTGATGATTTTTCCTGAGCGAAATTAGTTTTTAAATCAGAAAAAAGGTTACTTATATAATTACTTAATATATGAGTAGTTCAACGGTGAAAATATTTTTTTGGGACTGGTAGATAAAGTGCCTTTCTTTTGTTATCCTTCCAATGTAGTCATCATACCTAGAGAATTTACAATTAGCTTTTGTCCTTAAACAGTGGCTTCAGAGTTTTCACCCCAATCCACTAATTCTCAAAATTTTTCATACTTTTGCCATCTCCAGGGTCATTTCATGGAGTTTACAAATTGTTCTCTGTGCACTAGCATAATATCATGTCTTATGTGTCTTACTAGCCAATTAATCTATAACTTGGGAAACTGTGGCAACAAACACACTGTACTTTCAAAATCAAAGCTGACAATCTTCGATTCCTTTTGTTGCTGTTTTCTTCCAGTCTGGCCTTTCTACAAAATAATAAACTCAACAGCATCTTTGAAACTTCACCGCCTCGTCGTTTATTGAATGTTATCACCCGATAAAGGGTTGTTTTAGCTAACTCACTCCAATTCTGTATTGTTCGTGCAGCTTTTAAGGTCTCTGTACAAGTGACAATCTTTTGAAGGAGATGCTTTCTCAACACCTCCAAGTCTTCTGTAACTGGAAGCAGATCTGGCTTGTTAAATTTCCTCTTGTAGAGTGTTCCTAGTGAGTGATATGAAATTGTATCACTCCATTCAGATCCCATAAGCTTTTCAAGATTGTCCATGTCTTGTAGCAGCACCTGGTCTTTTTCTCTCAAAGCCTTACCTCTTTGGATGGTGATGCCATCTGGCCCCGTGGCTTTCTTCACTTTTAACTTACAGATCTTTTCCTCGATTTCCTTCTGACTGATCGTGACGGGGCCAATATACTGTATTGCAGAAACGATGGATTTGCTAACAAACTCATTAAACAATGTTCTAGCTGAACTCCAGGAATGGTGCGACAGAAATTCGATGGTACCACACCCAGAGAAATGCAAAGCAATGATCATGCAGCGCAAATCAACATTTACTGGCCCTATCCAAGCTCTGCGCCTTGGCAACAACATCATAAAGTGGACAACCTCAGAAAGACTCCTCGGAGTACAAGTTGATAACAAGTTGTCGTGGTCAGATCATGCTGCAAATGTAGCGAAGTCCTTCGCATCCAAGTTAAGTCTACTCCGACGCATGCGATTCCTCCCTCAGAAGCAATTAGAAGATTTCTACACAAAAGTGATACTGCCATCAGTTACATACGGTCTGACAGTGTGGGGATCGTGCAACAAGACACACCTAAAAACTTGGAGAAACTCCATGCAAGGGCTGGACGGATTGTAAATGGGCTGCCATGGGACACAAGCGCTGAAGATGTCTTAATGCGAACTGGATGGGATAGTTTGGAAACAATGTACAAACTGCGACTAACGGAGTTTGTCTTCAAATGTTTAAAAGGTTACACCGTCACGGAATTTAAAAATTTGTTTTTACAGAGGAATTCAGGCTGCAGAAGAAATGAGAACATCATTCTTCCAAGACCAGAAACAAATTTTATCAGGAACTCCATACGCTTTAGAGGAGCAATCGCATGGAACACTTTAACGAACAAGGAAACAGGGGCCAAAACCTTGAAAGAATTTAAACGCTGTCTCGTAAAATTTGATACCGATAAAATGCATTTCGAACCAATCTTAGCTACTACCAAAAATAGAGATATCGGTTACGAATACTTTTAATAGTTTTAATTTTTAATTGTACATTTTCACGACCTATTTCAAACATTTTTAACAGTTTTTAGTTTTTAATCGTACTTCTTATTTTTCTTGTAATTGTTAGTATGCACGACCCCACCAGCAATGCTGATCTTTTTATCGTGCTAAAATAAAGTTCTTATCTATGCACTTATTTATGGCATGGCCTAACTTCAGTGCAAGGGATGGTATTCCGACTGACTTTGCTGATGATTCCTCAAAGTTGCAAAGGGTCTTAACTGAAGCCACAATGCGGTCAAAATACTCTGGCTTTAGAAAGTCTTTGAGGTGAATCCCCATAGAGTTGTTGGTTCTGAGCTGTATCAGCAGCCTTGAAAGGTGCCGAATCCCTTGTGACACCAGGTGAAGGTTGTCTTGCCCATGTCTCTCTGCAATGATGCTACCATACTTGCAGATGAGATCATCATTTCTTGCAGCAATAATATTGTTACCTTATCTGATTTCATTTTGCTAGGGCAACTTTTAGGCACTGACTTTGTGCTTAATGTCCTATCTTAGGATACAGCTTGGGACAGTTAAAACAGGAATCCTTTTTGTCATAAACCCAGTTTTTGTGGTTGTTTTTCCCCTTATATGTGTAGTATTGTTTTCTAATAATAATATTAATGCTTTCTGTTCGCCGAATGGCTTTCGAGAAATAACTTGTAATGTTAACCTCTTTTGCCAGGCATATTTTTCTACTTGTTGTTTTATCACTGTTTGCCTTGGCGATCAAAGGTTTAACATTGTAGAGTTAACCTCCTATGCCAGGCATAATAATAAATGCAGTGTAGTTAAAAAAGTGTCATGGATTTGTTTGTTCTAAGCTGCCAAACCTCTTGTAATCAGTTTTTTTTGTTCTTTTGTTGTGGTATAATGGAAGCTGAATTCACTTCTTGCCTTGTTGCCTGCAACAATTTGCGAGGGTTGTCTTTAAGCCATACAAAAAAATGTTTTGCTCAAGGAAAAAGTCTTACTATAACAGAACACTTAAACAAATAATATATGCAAACTGGAGAAAACGTTTAGTCGGTGTGATAATTTTTCCTCAGCGAAATTAGTTTTTAAATCAGAAAAAAGGTTACTTATATAATTACTTATATAAGTAGTTCAGTGGTGAAAATAGTTCGTTTTGGACTGGTACATAAAGTGCTGTTCTTTTGTTGTGTTTTTGTATAGTTAGTGCGCCTGGTAAAAGATGACTGTTTTGTTGGTCATGAATTTCCCTCTAAATTTGCTCTTTCTTGCCACCCAGAACGTCAATGTCATTTAGAGATTTCCCAATGGCTTGACTGATGTTTTCGTCATCCATTAGTGCCAATTTAAGCCCAGTACATTGTTTTCTCAGGCAGTCCACTAGTGCCAATATTTTGCCGACTTTAGCTAGCTCCAGGGTTGACTCGTGGAGTCTATAATATTCCCTGTGTACTCTGACATCGTGTTCCATGTGTCTTGCCAGCCAATCTAACTCTTTTTCTTGGAGGTCTAACACTTGGGAAACCGTCGCAACATACTTTCTTAGGTGGGTTCTTGTTATCAAATCAGGTTCTTTTAATTTAAGCCAGTACATTGTTTTCTCAGGCAGTCCCAGTGGCGAATGTGATTCAATGAGTCTTCAGACGGGCGGGCAAAGAAAAACTTGTTGTTTGTATTGATGTTGGCCTCTTGTCTTTTCTTGACTAAGGTGTCCATTGCTCCTTTAATATCAGGCGTTAACAGCACTGAGACCTTATGTCCCCTTTTGCTTTCTATGTCAACCATGTCCACCACACATATATAGCATATTACATAATTGCACAATTTTAATAATGTC